CAAACATGATCATAAGCCTTCTCCATATCAATTTTACAAATGATACCTTCTTTTTTCTGTCCCATCATACCATCAACTACCTCATTAGCCACCATAACAGCATCAAGGATTTGTCTTCCTTCCACAAATGCATTATAGTTCTCCCCAATAATCTTGCCCAAAACCTTGGACATTTTTTTAGCTAGAACTTTAGAGATCAGTTTATAAATACTACCCACCAGGTTAATCGGTCTAAAATCTTTTATATTACGAGCTCCAGCAATCTTTGGGATAATAACCAAGAAAGTTGTGTTAATAGATTTGACAAAAGCCTCAATTCTGTTAAAATCATGAAACCTCTAATGAAGCTCATAGATAGTAGTGGTAGAGTAGACACAGCCCACTCATTAAATATTCTGCAGGTCCTCACAAGCCAAATACTCCATATCCCAGCAAAAACAGCCCATCTTCAGAGTGGCCTAGCCTCCTGAATTACCCCCTCCCCTAATAAATGACAGCTCACAAAGATCTCCAGCAAGAGAGGGGCCATCCAATATATTCCAAGTACCTTCATCAATTCTGTCCAAAACTTTCATGGTGTTTCACAGTCTAGGAATAAGCGGGGATGCATTTCTCCTGCTGTGAAAACACATCACACTTATGGCTAAAGACAAAAGCTCAATGAGGTTGATGGATGTAGAGCATATCGTTCATATTGAGCTTCTATGGATGGCAGTCTATGAGAAAACCTTGACTTTTGAGGGAACGGAAGATTTTTCCAAAACAATTTTTCCCTCTATAACCTTTGCATTCATCATAGTTCAAATAGATGCTAATCACTGAAATTTCTTTTCCCCTTTCTTCTCCCTATCGTGAAAAAACCCACATTGCATTTTTGCCTAAAGAACTAGCCAACTTTAACGCCAAAGGATCAAGAGATTTACAATCTTTATTTCCTTTAGTCATGTGTAATAGCAAAATAGGAATAACTTCTTCCTTTCGGATCTTCTCAAATAGACCAAAAGATTCGATTTTCCTGCATCTAGTATGGAATCCTTAGTACCAACATCATCATACAGTCACCAACATACTGAGCCTATCTTTGCTAATATCTAGAAAAATGGAACTAAAAATTTTATTTACCCCCTTATTTTGCTGTCCCAGAACAATCGCCCACTCCTTCCCTTTCAAGGAGAAGTCACTCCCACATTATAACATATTGTCATCCTTCGTATCATCAATAAAAAATCCTACTTTTCATATTCATCATGTAATTCACTCAGAAGCAAGCTTTGGTTGACTTCAGAAGTTGAATCATCTCCAAAAAATAATAACCAACCCGCTTCTTTTCCAGCTAAAGAACAATGCTGTTCAAACTCAATGCCAGAAGTTGAGTCATCATTCATATGAATATCACCATATAGAGAATACCCATCTTTAATGTACAGAAAACCTTAGCACCTTTCAGAATAAGCTTCACCAACTTTGGCCCTTCCTTGTAAGAAATTTTGATTTCTGAATCTAGCTTCTAAGACAAAATTACTGGTATTCTTAGAGCAACCTGTTGGCAATATAATAACCACCCTACATATTACATTACCAAACAGGTAAATTTGAACAGATAGCTAAAAACTTATAGGCAGCCAACAAGCAGAGCCATCCACTTACAATCCATTTGGCCAGCTTGTACTTATGTTAAAAGTGTTCTGAAAATAACTTCCAAGCAAAAGCTGCTTTAAGGTCAAAACAGTAAACTTACATTAAAAAGTGTTTTTAGTATAAAATATAGGATTATATTTAATTAATTATGTTATAAAATTAATAATAAATATTAAAATGATAAAAAAATGCATAGTAATAAAAGTAATAATTTTTTATTTCAAAAAAAATAAAAATAATAATTTTATAATTACTCAAGTAATATTGAATCTTTTTCTTTAAAAATTATTCTACTAATTTAAACTATTCTAGAATATTTATCTTAATTTAATTATTTTATTTGGCTTTCAAGATATTAATTTTAGATTATCATTACTGAATTTTTAAATAAAAAATTGTTTACATAATTTATAACAAATATAAAATTACCAATAACAGATTACTATTATATTATTATTTTAATCTTATTCTACAACTAGTAAACTAATAATTTTTTTAAAATAATAGTAAACTAATAAATAAATAAAACATAAAATTAATAAATACAATCGCTATCATTCACATACTCAACCACAAGTTATATTTTACAAATATCTATTTCTCTTTTTCCATTTCACTTATATCAAAAGTCAAAAACAATTATGTTTTTTTACTAACAAATAATTCTGTCTTTTGGAGTTTGGTCAGACTTCTGCCTTCTAACAGCAAAAGCAGAAGCAGAAATACAGGCCACATAGGCACCCAGCACCAAGAAAAAGTCAGTTTTCCATACTTCTTACTGTGCTTTTATTACAAATAAAGTGACGAGTTTGGCAAAACACCTAAAAGAATATGGTTACTCAAAATCTGAAACAAAATTTGCCTTTCCACAAAAGGAACTTAGTAAATATGTTTTTTAAAAAAATAAAAAGTATGATATATATAATTACTATACAAGCACCCAGGAGGTGTCAACCCTAGTACAAAAATATTAAAATATCAATCAGGATACCAATAAGTTCCACAAAATCAACCATAGAATAAAGATGATAACCAAAAACCAAAAATACCAGGATCTACAACCATCTATCTCTAACCCTATCAAAATTATCTTTTACCTCTTTAAAAGCTCTATTGTTTCTTTCTTTCTTTTTTCCAAGAGAAAAAGTATAACCAATATATAAATAAAAAGACACCAAAGGGGTGTCACCCATATATATATTTACATGTTGGTGAGTAAATTCATGACATTCTCAAAATCATCTATTCTATAAATGTTATCTCCCTCCCAAAATTAGAGACCCAAAAAAGTGTAACCATCCCCTAGTTTTATACATTTTACTGACAAGCCCCTTGAATGCTCTCCTATTTCTCTCTTTCTATACCACCCAAAAGATCATAAAGGAATAAGAAGTATAGTTTTTCTCTTGTTTCTTTCTTTCTACACCATCCAAAATATAGAAAGAGGAATGAGACCCAATTTCTTTCCACCACTAATACCCTTCCACGCCAAATTTAGTAAATATCACAATTGGATTCATTTGCATATATCTAAATTGTTTGTGATAATCAATTTCATAGCTCACAATTGTTGGCAATCTGAGCATCCAACACTAAGAGCACCTTTACTAATTATTTTCACCTCAAAGGCACTTTTACAAAAATAATTCTCACAACACTTCTACTCAGTCATAAACATAACCAACAATGGCAAATGGGCACTTCGAATCACAACAAAATGGAATTAGCTTCCACATTCCCAGCCCACATCATTATGAATTCCAAAGCCAACCCACAACAAAACCTCTTTTCTTCCAGTAATACTGCACAACCACTCAAAGAAATAAAAATGTAAAGAAAACAACACTTAACAACAATATTTGATGATCCAGTTCTCTCAACATCCCTTGCAACCACAAATCAGATGACTGAACTACATCCAGTTATGACTCAAAAATTTGTAATAACAATATCCAATTTCTATTTCCCACTAAACCAAATCTTTTAAAGGAAAAAAAAATTATTAACTCCTAAAAGCAGTAAAGTAAGCCACATTGTTTTTTTAAAAAAACTACCGCACTTTATTATCATGAATTCCTTGTCAAACGAATATCTCCAAGGTAATCCTAAATCGCATTCTAATATTATGCAGCTAAAACAACAATGGAACTAAAGTGCTCCAGTTCAGTATACACTCTTTCCATTAACAGCTCAGCATTTAAAATGTCTTGGTATTACTCAATTTCATAGAATATGTGAAGTTAGAGCTTTCCATTTAGAAGAATGAAGTTGAAGCTACTAGAAAGAAAAAGATACCTTCTTCGATCCAAAGATATCATCCTCGTCATCCTCGAGATCACCAAATCCTCTTTTGTTGCCTAAAAATTTCAACAGATGAAAACAAATTTTAAAAGGAAGTTCAAAACAAAAAAAAAACCAACATTTAAGAAAAAATAAATCAATTGTCCACCTGAACGCCTTGTACTGTGAGTACTGGCAAAATCACCACCAAAATCATCATCCTGTAGAGGACATGCATTTAGTGAGCTAAAATAAAGCCCTAAAACAAACATATATAAAGAAGCATCTGAAGATGAGATTGAAGGACTTACATCATCCAGATGAGTGTGAGAAGCCATTTGGGAAGATATGAAAAAAACCTAGTATATGAATTGTTCAAAACATTAGTGGCAAAGTAGGGAAAAAGTCCATGGCATGTGGAGGGAATGGGACAGCTATCCCCACCCGTACTGCCATTGCCAGGAAAGCACTTATCCAATACCCGCCACGGGTACGTGGCCGGTATACAGTCCTCTACATGCCACACGGGTAAGGCTATTCACCAACAACCTGACCCGTAACTCATTTATACTCACTCTCACTCTGCCAGCCAAACCCCCGTTTATTAAACAATAAATCTAATAAAATAAGATCTTTAATTCAAATTGATTTGTCATTTGCAACTACAGTTTTGAATTATGTAACATTTATATAGCAGACTCTTAGTTAATTTTCAAGGAAAGTATAATAACTTTATACTGGTTTTTTTTCTTCCGCATGGAGTAACATATATGATACTCTTGCGCTGAGCAAGAAACGGACCTCTAACCTCCAATTTTTAGAGTTTGAGGGGTACTGCCTGACCCAAACGGTTAGATATAACTTTATAATAGTTACTAATCACCAAACATCACTTAAAAATGAAGGATCTCACAGAAACAAGATCTTTTTATAAGCTAAGAATATTAGACACAATAATGAGTACTGATAATCTGTTCATTTCCTCCAATTAATGTGTATGGTTTCGTTATGCATCCTACTTAAGCCATAGAACATACTATCATTACTTTACAAAAAAAAATCGTGGAAACAGAGAAAAAATACATCAAAATTAAAAATAATAGTCAATAAATAATCTAAACTCACCAGCTATCCAAGCCCTTTTCCGGTTTAATCCCTCTCCAACAGTATCAAGAAAAAAATAATGAACGTATTCCGCAAATGACGAGAACCATTAATAGGACCTCGACCGAAAATATAAAAGAAAAACAACAAATCCAAAATAAAAATGCTGGAGAATTGCCAATCAATCAGCCAAAATTTGAAAACATAAACACCCAGGGGTTCAAGGACCACCAATTATAATTCAAGCATTTCGTCCAAATTCTTATCTACAATGTCGGTTGGCATTTAAACACCGATTGACACCTAGAGTATATTAAGAACTTGTGATAGAAAAATTACCAGATGGTCCTGTGATGGATAGAGGATAAAACAGCTTTGATGCTATTGATGGACAGAGTGTCGTGCAATCTGCAAGTGTGAAATGGATTTAAGGAAGAGGCAGATCTGCGAGCAAAGGAAGATCTGTTGGTCCCGCAAGGTGTATGTAGCCTGTTGAGTAAGACTGTGAGAGGGGTGAGGGATCCGGGGGAGGATTGCCTGAGTGAGAGGACGGGTGGGGTTTGGGCGAGTAAGACAGGATTTGAAAACTTTAAACCCTAATCCGTACAAATATATAGTGGCACATCTGTAAATATATAAAACTTTAAGGTTAATTATTAATGATGTAAAATTTCGGGTCGGAGCAAATTGGAAATAGTAAATTTCGGGTCGAAACAAATGTCTCATTCATGTTACTTGGTTCTCTACTCTAATGTGAATGGAAGAGATAAATTTTAGAATAAATTCTCTCAAGTTTTAACAAGTGTTTAAAAAAAAAAAGAAAACAAAATAAATATTGTCAAATAATTCATCTTAATATTTTGACCATTTGATCTCTAAAATTACTGTATCTTCATCGTCCAGAGAAACTAAAATTTATAAGTAAATAAGAGTTTTAAGTTATGATAAAATGAGCAAATTATGATAGCGAATAATTCAATCTCGTAGTTAGAGTATTTAGGTTTCTAATAAGATATTATAAATTTAAGATTTATTTATATTTATCTTAAAATTAAGTAAATTATGTTTAAATAAGTTATGTCAATATATAACATAAAGGAATAGTATTTTTTATGATTATATGGTTTATTTAATAAATCATTCATAGCCTATAAACTTATTTACAGATTTTCACAATCTTATATGCATAGATTCATTTTAATTTATCCAAGTATTTTAAATAAGTAGATTAATCTTATAACATCACGTTCATCATTGTGCTAAAATGATTTAAAAACTCTATTTATTCGGATTTTTAGCCGTTTTAAACTTAATTAATTTATACTATTTAATATTTCTCGTAATTTATAATTTTGATTTATTTTTATTTAAATTTTATTTTATTTTAAATTAAAAAAAATTTAGAAAAAAAATCGAAAAACGGTGAAACAAGGAAAATTACCCGCGGGAAAAATCCCGCGAGAGGGCAGTTTGCCCACGCGGGTGCTGGGCACTATACGCGCGCATGTGTGCAGATAGGCCTTGTGCGCTTGGGGCCTGCGCGCAGTAGGCCTATGCATGCAGTGCCCAGCACACCAAGGCCCGCACATGGCAGTAGGCCTGTGCACCTGCAGCCCGCCGGCCGGGCACTGCCACTTCGGGCAGTGCGCTACCGCTACCTTTGGGCGGCGTGCCACCACCTCCTCTGTTTCTCATACTTAGCATCTTTTTTCTCCTATCTCTTCATTAGATTTTGCCACTTTGCGTAAATCTAACG